GCATAGTGCCCAAAAGCATTGGATTGCTAACCAGGAGTCTGGCCGTTCAAACCCACCAGAGCCATTCCTCAGAAGGAAGGTTGGGCAATCTACTTCTGTAATGATACTGCCTCAGAAACCCAAGGAGGGGTCGCTATGAGTCGGGTCCAACTCGAGGGCACATAACAACAGCAACAGCAGTCTTTGTGCAATGCCAGATGGTCATTGTTGAAGAGGCAACTGATTTTAATTTTTCTGCAGTTAAATAAGTATATCTTTTGCATATGACAAAGTTAAGATAGGCTTTATGACTTTTTTTCCCACTTTATTTAGAAGTTAACCAATGCACAGAAATACATTAAACTACATTTAAAATGGAATGATCTTAAAATTAATTTTTTTTTTCAAATGTTTAGCACTTTTCCAGACATTAACTCCGGGCTCCCGAGAATTTGAAGATATTTTAAACATTCTGCATTCATCTTACCTTGAACCAACCTCGGTAGCAAATTTTAACTACAAACGTGCTTGCTTGATACATAATGAGCTTTTGGAAAAGGAGGTATGTTTTAAATTGTGTTTATTTTAAGTTCTTCAGAATTATGGAAGGGAAAATAAGTTTTCAATAACATGTTTTTTCCCTAAACATTGTTGATGTCGTTATTACATTTATCTGCTGAAACTCTTGTTGTTGTTGTTATGTGCCGTCGAGTCAGACCTGACTCATAGCGACCCCTCCTTGGATTTATGAGGCAGTATCACTACGAAGTAGATTGCCCCATCTTCCTTCTGAGAAGTGGCTGGTGGGTTTGAACTGCTAGCCTTCTGGTTGGCAGTCAGGTGCCTTAGGCACTACGCTACCAGAGCTCCCTGTATTAAACTCTTACTGATATGTAAACTATTTTTCCTCCTAAAAATGAATCTTAAGTATAGGGACAGCTTACTGTATAATGGTTTAATTGTAAATTCACAACAAGCCTTTTTGCCCTTTCATATATTGAATTAACTTATTTATTATGAGCTCATGTCAATTTAATTGAATGTAATCTCTAATAGTGTATCTAAATAAGATAATTATGAAATGAAACCTATATTTTTCTTATGACATACTTGATTTTCCCCCCAGTGATTGCTTGGTGGCTGGAATTCCTTAATATTTGTGGACCAAAAAAAATTGTGGACAAAAAAAAAAAAGTGGGACCAAAAAAATTGTTGATAATGAATTTAAGTTTTAATATACAAATCAGACTATTCTTTGAACAGGAAGTATTCTTTATAGGAATAGCCAGCATTTGTAACTCAGGTAATGCAAAATGAGAAGTTTAAAAGGATTTAATTTGTATTTCTATTGGACATGAAATACTATTAATTTTGTACTTTTACAAATTGATTAACATGATGCTAAGTTTGAAAAGATTCTCAAAGGGGAAGAACATTACTGGCTCCCAGAGAAATTAAAACTTTGGTATTTTGATGGGGTTGCATGGTGTGAAAGGGATTGTTATTTTTTATATGAAAATTTAGTCTAAAGATTCATTAATTATGTTACTGAAGATAAGTAATGTCCTAAATATTGCCTATGAAGTTGAATATTGCATATAAAGTTACTAGATATGTGGAGTCTACCTTTTGAATGTTTATCTCTTTTCTTACATCTGAAAGTGAAAGCCAGCAGTTCAAGGCGACTTAACTGTTGTTGTTTGCCAGCGAGTGGGACCCGCCTCATAGCGATCCCTCCTTGGGTTTCCAAGGCAGTATCACTATGGAAGTAGACTGCCCCATCTTCCTTCCGAGGAGTGGCTGGTGGGTTTGAACCGCCAGCCTTCTGGTTAGCAGTCAAGTGCCTTAGCCACTATGCTACCAGAGCTCCCCACATGTATTTAGACTAAGCCCATTCTTTTATCCTAGAAATTTTTATAAAGCATGTCTGTGTGCTTGACATTGAGAAAAGAGGTATAAAGAAAAGACACATCCCTTGTCCTACTTAAGTTCATAATCTAGAGCTTGGTCATTTGATATTTACTAAACTACCTATTGTACATCATATACCATCCTAAGGAAAACAGGAGAGACAAAGATAACTAAGATTGCACTTACAACCTGTGGAAGAATTGGAATGTGTAAAATTTTGATGGAAATTTAGTTAAAATTGATAAACACTAGATGCTTGTTTGACTGTATGGTAAAAGAGCCAGTTACAATGGGAAAAGAAAATTTAAAGGGCTGAAATAATAGTGAGGAAAAACATAGTTTCTTTCTACTTTGATAGGTTTACAAGTTTTTGGAAATAAAATTCTGAAACTCTTAGCTTGAAAAGAGACACACTAAATAGTTATTACAGATTTAATTTCATTTAGTTTACAGAAAAGCGAAGAGAACTGAAGTTTGATGGCCGCTTAGATAAGGAACTTGTAGAATCCTATGCATTTCTGATGGTTGATCGACATCAGGTGAGTGAAGCCTATAAAAAAAAAATTGAGGATGTTTCCATTTTCAGTTACTTTACACTTATTCAATAATATACTCAGTTATAAACTTACCATTTTCTAGGTGTATAAGTGGAAGAAATGATTTAGTGGGGCAACATGTTTCGTTGTTTTATAATTTATTTTTATATGTGCTCATTTTTTCTCTCTGACCAATTCTGTTTACTTTTCCTAGAATGTGCTTGATAATTAATAATTTTCTCTTACTAAAAAAATGACCGTTTATATTGCTTAGCATCTGTGATTAGAACATTCCATCCCATCCCCCTGCCCTTAATTGAAGTTGTTTAGGTGGAATTACTTTCTCTTTAAATGTTTTACTGGTTCTAATTCTTTCTAAAGGGGAATTTTTATATATGTGAATGTCAGGAATTCAGAATATCTATCACAGCCTAGCATAAACAAAAACAGATACTGACTTTGTTTCAGTGGAAAGCATAAATCATTTTATGTTAGTTTTAATGAAATAATGCAACAATTAATACATCCCCAAAATGAGATTTTAATTTGGGTACTCTTACATAAGCTGGGATATATATGAAATTTCTGTAATACAGAAGTTTATTCAGTTTATAAGCTTAGATTTTACTTAAAACAAGTTTTTAGATAACCTTTCCAAGTTTTTAATGTTACTATATGATAGTAAGATGAATGTTTTGTTTATTTTAGGTTCAAAGCATATGTGAAAAAGGATTACAGGTGGGCCAATCCAAAATAACAATTCTTGGCAGTCCTTCTATGGGTAATTATTGTTTTTTTATTATTATTTTTTGTTTCTGTATGCCTACTATTTAGTTGCCATTGAAAAATGTGTTACATAATTTTGCTGAGATCTTTATAATAAAATTAAATTACAAATTTAATTTATAATTAAATTAAATTGTCATATTCCTAGAAAAGGAGACTAGTTTCAGATTCTACAGGGTGAAATCAGTTTTATCTTTTGTTTTTGATTTTTCATGCTTCAGAGTGATTGAAGATTACTTTTTAAAAATGTCTTGCTCTAGTCCTAGTGATTTTAAAAAGTTTCGTTACTTTTATGAGGTTTTTTTTTTCTGGTTTTATTTTTGTTTTGGTTATATCTCAGCTGTTTTTTGCCATCCTTAAATTTCTTGAGAAAGAAGTATCTTCTCTCTCACCTCTTATTATTAGCTTAAATATTTGTATGTTTTTGTATTTGTATCCTTCTTACTCAGAATAAAATTAATATTTTTTTTTCTTGTTTACTAGGTATCTATCTTTCTAGGTATGCTGATTTATTACAAACTAATCCTTTGGAAGCTGGGGCAACGGGTGATGTTGTTATTTTTAAAATTATGAAGGTAACTTCAACTATATTTCATATATCAAAGAACATTTGATAGGTATTGTAGTTGGCCCTAAGTTTTCAGAGGTTTGATTAAAAATGTGTGCTTGGTATATAAAGATACTTTTTTTTTTTTTTTAACATTTTATTGTGGTTTGGGTGAAAGTTTATAGTGCAAATTAGTTTCCCATTCAGCAGTTTATACACATTTTGTTTGGAAGTGTTAGTTGCAATCCCCCCAGTGTAACAATACTCCTCCCACTTCCTCTCGAATTTGCTATTTCAGTTGTCCATCTTTCCTGCCCATTCCTGCCTTCTGTACTTTGTTTTTGAGCAAATGCTGCCCTTCTGGGTGTATGTTTAATTATTTTGAGGAGCATGTTCCTCACAGGTGTTATTGTTCACTTTATAGGCATGTCTCATGTTTGGCTTAACTCCGGGAGTGGGTTTAGTTCCAGGTGTAAAGGGTGTATAAGGGCCATAGTCTCTGGGATCCAACAGTCTGTGTCAGACCAGTAAGTCTGATCTTTTTTATGATTTTGAATTGTTCTCTCACTCTGTTCAGGACCTTCTATTGTGATCTCAGTCAGAGCAGTTGGTGTGGTGGTAATTGGGCACCATCTAATTCTTAACGGTTTCAAGCTAATGGAGGCGTGATTTGTGTGGTCCATTAGTACTTTGGATTAATTATTTCTATGAAATAATTTTTCTTTACACTTCTTTGCTCTGGACAGGAAGAGATCAGTAGTTGTATCTTAGATGGCCGTTTGCATCCTTTAAAGACCCCAATTGCTACTCATCATAGTAGAACCTAGAACATTGTCTTTATGGACTGTGTTAAGCCATTTGACCTAT